AATTCGTGGCCATAATTTAGACTAAACGAAAAAAATAATTCTTAATTCGTGGCCATAATGTAGTCCTAGCATAAAAGAGAACTAGCCTATTCTAAATTAGTTGGCCGTGATTGTCTGCATGTCATGATCGGGGCTCCGTACAACCGAATATAACCTTAGCCTACCTGTTTATTCATTTATTATGGTATGTAACTAGCTCACCTTTTGCGGCACCATGTTTGCGTAGCACATCCTCGTGCTTTCTGGCAATGTGCCGCTTCAGATTCCAATATGAATCTTTACTAACTCTCCCCGCACTCCCTCTCAGTTTCTTCTCCCTGCTCATTCTTAACTTAGATTTTTTACTTTACATTTATGTATAAGGCTTGCAACTTCGTTGAAACAATATCTGAACTCCATAACTGCTCTACTATTCTCGATCTCTACAGATTCTCGATCTCGAACAAGCAAATCACCAAACGGCATTCTGGGTTGAGCGAGCGGCGCTGTGCGCTCTGCGCTCTTAAGGAAATATTACCACTCCGCTCCGCTCACGTGCTCTGGAACAAACACACTCTGTGGGAGAGTTTGTGTGTGTGTTTGTGTGAGGGCCAAAGCAGATGGGACCCCCCACTGTTAGAGTTAGCCATTAGTTCTGGTCATTCTTACGTCTGATGAAGGTCAACTGGGACGTGCTGTCACACAGAGCAAAGGTAGGACAGGTGGGCATTACTAAACAGCTACCCACAGCTACTGTTTGACTTTGAAATGCAGGCTTTGTTTAACCACAGACCCTCTACACGTGCCCTACAACCAAAGCAGACTATGTGTTTTGGTTTACTTAGCTATTCTTTGGTTACAATATTGTCCCTAGAAATTGACTAAATATTACAAACTTCTTTTGGTGGCGATCAAGAGACTTACAAAAAAATAAATAGTAAGTAAATGTGGTTTTTATATACTGTGTATTTTATCCTAAAATTGTATGTGTTTTTACTCTAAAAGTTCTTGTAATTGGTATTTTGAGCTATTGTTGCAGATAATAACTGTAATAAATTAAATGTTGTATATTAGGAATGTACTGATATTAAAATTCTGGAAAATGTTTATAAAAATGATATTAAAAGAAAAATTCTAAAAATTAGTTTAAATGTGTGTATATATAATGCCCTCATTTAAATAACTATAATACCATTCAAATGTTGGGGTCAGTATGATTTTGTTTTATTAATACTTTTATTCAGCAAGTATGCATTCAAATCATTATATAAAAGCATATTAAAGTAAAGAAAAAATAATAATCTGCAAAAAAGTATCACAATATAAAAAAGTATCAAAATAAATAAGTAGCACACCTGATTTCAACATTGATAACAACAAAATGAAATGCTTCTTGAGTACCAGATCAGTATAATAAAATTATTTGACACAGAAGACTAAAGTAATGGCTGCTGAAAATTCAGCTTTGCCATCACAGGAATAAATTACATTTTTAAATATATTAAAATAGAAAACTGATGTTTCAAATTGTAATAATATTTCACAATATTACTGTTTTTACTGTATTTTTGATAAAAAAAAATACAGCTTTTGTAAGCATAGGACACATTAAAAGAAATCGAACTGATCTCAAATTTTTGAAAGGGGTACAGGTATGTGTGTGTGTGTGTTTGTGTAACATGCTGTCAGTTTGATAGGTGTTGCTCTGCAGGAAACTCAGTGGAATGTGTGAGCTTCCATATTGCATCATGGCTAAAGGTTTGGACTGTTCACGTGCAGACTAATGTTTTTCAGCTCTCTTTCTCACTTACTCATCAAACTAAAGTGTGACTTTCACTCTCAATGGGTTGTAGCTTTATCACGAAATCAAGTGCCTTGTTCTTTTGTTCACGAGTGTATTTGAATGTGTGTGATTTCAATGGAAGGTGCAGTGCTTAAAATATTTTGTTTGTTTGAATTAGCAGCAGGTATTCTCTCTCTGTCTGTCCATCTGTCTTGCTCTCTCTCACCTCATTTTGCCTGTATCCCCACTGCGACGAGAGAGCGATGAAGTCGACTGCATATGCAGCACTGCTGATGAATTATTGAACAGTGGAAAGTGGACGTGATGGAGTCTTGCACGCAGTGCATACAGAGGAGCCACTGTGTGAAAGGATGACTGATGTCAAGAAAAAAGAGCGAGGGTTTACAAGCTTCTTTGTCAATGCACAAATGGCAACATGCATGCTTCATTTGCTCACTTTCAGAAATGTTTGCAAATGTACTTTGCCTGCACTTTAAAAGTAGCAGTATACTGCAAATAATCCTATTCTGGTTACAGCTTTTTTTGGATCAGCACACAGGCAAATGTCTGTATTACCTGACAGTTATCATGTCTCTGTGACAGCCAAAGAATCTGACCACAGCCTGCATGAGCCAATCAGCAATCTTGGCATGAATTTGGGCTGGGAATTTCTGTTGGTATTTATTTAGTTATACAGAGAGTATTTAGGAAAACTTTTGGGAAAAATTATTATTTTTAGAATTCTAATTTTTTTTAATTACAATTCTTTAAAATTCAGATTTTTTTTTACTGCAACTTAAAAATGAGATCCATTTACCTGAGAGGCAAAATTACAGAGAATGTACCTTACAGAGACCTTCAGAGAATGTATCCTGAATATTTTAATTATCTGGTTTATTAGGCAGCTTTTCTGCTTGTTTTAAGGGTCAGTATGTTTCTTTTTTTTTTTTTAAGAAATTAATACTTTTCTTCAGCAAGGATGCATTAAATTGAATTGATTTTGAACTTTTTTGATTTGATTTGAATTGATTTGATTTTTGTCTTTTTATCAAAGTATCCTGAAATATCCTGAAAAAAATGTATCACAGTTATCATAAGTATTAGGTTGAAAAACTTTTCAAAATTTATAAGAAATGCTGATTTGAGCACCAAATCAGCATGTTAAATTGATTTTGGAAGGATCACGTGACACTGAAGGCTTGAGTAATGCTGCTGAAAATTCAGCTTTGCCATTACAGAAATAAATAACTATGTATAAAAACTGTAATAATATTTCACAATATTACTGTATTTTTGATCAAATAAATGCAGTCTTGGTGAGTACAAAAAGCTTTTAAAAACTTTCAAAAGCATTAAAGAATCTTACGACCCCATACTTTTCAGTGGTGGTGTGTATGTATCATCAGACAAAAGTTTGGACACACTTACTCATTCTTTACTATTACTATTTTCAGTTTTTTAGAATAACAGTAAAGCCATTAGTAATTTGAAATATGAATTCTGAAATATAATTATTATAATGAGGTCGATGGATAGTGGATTTTACCGATACTGATAGCTAGGTTGCACCACACTGGCCGAATTAATCAACCGATAGTTTTTAAAATGGCTACTGAACGAAAACTAAAATAGTGCTTTACTGTAAAAGAAAGTACTGAACCATATTTTGTAAATGTATATAAATATTAATATTAAATATGAATTATATATTGATCATCAAAGTAAGTTCATAGCTTATTAACTAATGTTAACAGAAGCAACTTCAGAATAAAAAAATTTATTAGTAGATGTTGAAATTAACACTCTAAATAAATGGTGTCTTTAAATATCTACACAAAGATACATATGGCAGTCGGCAAAAAGCGCATCTAGTGCCGCTTCTAGTGTCCCGCTCTGAAAACTATCAGCATGCATTTTTTGCCGATAGTTCCAGCAATCAACTATCGGTGCCGATTAATCAGCAAAACCGATACATCGGTCGACCTCTAATTATAATTATGCTAAATTTTGTCAACAAAAATTTCTAATATTTTTTTTAAACAGAGCTTCTGAGCTTTTAAAGATCATATTAATAAATATTTAACTGGTAAGACAGTGTATACAGGATAAATTAGTTGAAAAATTTTTAATTCGATTTTTGCAGTATAGGCTTGTATTCTCTTTCAGAAGTTAAAACCATCCTCAGTGAATGGTTGATGCGGAAAAGAGAACAAAGCTAGACTCTACTCTCATTTTTGGAGTGCTTCTCGTTTCGCTACTAAAAACAGATTACTAGTCCAGCGGTTACAGGAACATCAATAGTCAAACCCGTAAGCTACTGATGGGCATAGTGTGTTTGTGTGTGAGCATGATCATGTGTTCAGTTGATACAGAGACAAGTCTGAACATAACATTCCACTGTCTTCACTTAAACAGCCTCCTGGGAGGAGAGGCACACAAAACATGGGAAAAATTTGAAAAATGCCTCCTTAGAACTCCCCCTTCTCCTACAAACTAATACAGTGTTTAGATTAGCATAGAAACATAGCCTGTGGAAACAGAAAAGTTTGCGGTTAATTAACCGTAATTATCAACCCTAAACGGAGGGCTGCTCAGATAATGTTGACGTGAAGTCAGTGTTTTGACCATACACACAAGGGCGGACGTCTTTTTTTTTTATCTTTCAAAAGAGATGGAACAGTTTGTCTGTTGGGTTGTGTTTTGAGTCTAAGCTCTCATTTAGCGTAGCTTTCGAAACAAATGCTCTTTATGCATGTAGATCCCTCAAAGCTGAAGTCTGGTGCTTTTTATGATGTTTGTGTACAAAGGTTCCTCAAAAGGGAAACTGGTTTCAGACGGGCTTCCAGAGCACAATAACGTCACGTCTAATGATCTAAAATGAATTCAAGTGAGCTTTAGATATAAACAAGCAAATATTTAGAGACTACAATGCTAATTTCTTGGTAAAATGAAGTCATTTCTAAGAGAAATTCTTTTAACTGCTTCATCAGACGCCATTTTTATTCATTTCCACCATCTGTCAAACCACGTGCACAGGATTCTGGGATATTGTAAGCTGTCAACGAGACATCTATTCTATCAAAATCCAAGGAGATTAAAGGATTTTAGTACACAGGATGTCACAGATATTGGATGTGAACATGTCTTGATGCCTTCCCACCTCCTAATACAGCATTTTTTTAATCTGATGTAATATTGACCTTTCTTATGTTTATATTCTCTCTCTTTTTGTGTTTAGTCATACTTCGTCACTGACTATGACCCTACGATTGAAGACTCCTACACAAAGCAGTGTGTGATTGACGAGAGGCCTGCGCGGCTAGACAGTAAGTATGCCGCTGATGGATGAAGGAGTCTGATTGTCAAACAAATCACAGGATGTAGGGAAACAACCTACTGCTTTCCAGCAGCAAAGATGAAGCACTTTATGATTTGATAATACTTCACAGAGATCAGGTAAATTACAGAGGAACTGGTGCATTTTGTTTTTGTTCTGTGCGTTATGCATACTTGTACAGGTGGGGTTATAATAAATGTACTGTAATATCACTTTAGAAAAAACATCTACAAAATAACTACTTACTCCATTATACATATAATACATGGCTGGTGAAAAAAGGAGGCTTGAAATACTTTAAATTGAAAAAAAAAAAATTCTAGGCAGAAAATTGCACGATTAAAGGCATAGTTTACCAAAAATGTTGTCATTATTTACTCACCCTCATATTCTCTAAATCTGTATGACTGAATTTCTTCTGTGGAAAACAATAGAACATATTTTGAAAAATGTCTGGTTTTGTTTGGACCCCAACATTCTTTGAAATATCTTTTGTGTTCCACAGAATAGAGATAGTCAGGGTGAGTAAATAATGACAGAAGTTTCATTTTTGGGTCACTTTAAAGCAGTGGTTAACAATCAGGAGGACAGGACCAGCTAGGGGCCCTCAGCAAACTTCTAAGGGGGAATAATAAAAATAAAAATTTAAATAATCTTTAACTGTAATCTAAATTAAAATGCTAAAAAACACAGAAGCGCCTTCGTACATGCTTTCAAACAAGCCGAAACGAAACAGAAACAATTGACTTGATCGGTGTCGCGTCATAGCTGTGTGGGTGGAGTCGGCATGGGGGAAAACAGTCCTTTCCCCCTCATTGGAAAAGCCATGGTGTTGACTCAGAATGGCCTACATAAAATTATTTGTGCCGCTCGACAGAGCAACATACGCATAAAAACTGAGCCGTATTGGGTCGGACTGTCCGTACAGTATCTGTGAATGGACAAACGACCCAACGGAATGGCCAGAGGTGTTGTTTCCCAACATTTGTTGTTACCTAATTGAGCAAGAGACAGCTTAGGCTACTACAAGCCTATACGAGACGGCTTGTGAAAGTAAACATTTGTCGTTTTGTTTTGCTTAATTTTAATAAAGTGATAAAGACTCGAGTAAAAGCCTGTCGTACGTTCTTATTGATATATTAAAACGTTTTTTAACATTGACAAAACAGGTAACGTTAAGGTCCACTGAAGTGCCTTGAAATGCGCAGCGTTATTCTATGTGGTGTGTGCTGCAGCTGCCTAATCATTTTCACAAATACGTGCCACAAATACGTGCCTTAAATAAAGATAACATGAAAATATGTATATAAAATACCAAAAAACATGGTTATTGGTTACTGTAGTTAAACCATGGTAAAAACAACATGTTTTACTACACTAACCATAGTTTAACCATGGTATTTGTAGTAAAACTG